CTGGAAACTGGGCGGGATACATTTGATTTTCGGGGCTTAATAAACCCGTTTATAGCATGAACAATCACAAGCTTGAATGTGTACCGGAAACTGAGCGGGATACATCTAATTTTTGGGGCTTAATATGCCCGTTTCTAGCATGTGCAATTACAAGCCTGAATCTGCACTGGAAAGTGCGGGATACATCTGATTTTTGGGGCTTAATATGCCCATTTCTAGCATGTGCAATTGCAAGCCTGAACCTGCACTGGAAACTGGGCGGGATGCATCTGATTTTTGGGGCTTNCACTGGAAACTGGGCGGGATGCATCTGATTTTTGGGGCTTAATATGCCCGTTTCTAGTCTGTGCAATTACAAGCCTGAATCTGCACTGGAAAGTGAGCAAGGTACATCGGGGTTTTCGGGGCTGAATATGCCCGTCTTAATCCGTGCAAATAAGAGCATTAAGGGTGGGGAAAACACATTCGGTTCCCAGTGGCTTGAAATGCCTGTCTCTTTTCAGTGTAATTACGAGTATTGATCTGCCCAGGAAGAGTGGGAAGAATTCATGCAATTCTCGAGGGGCTTGATACGCCTGTTTCTTTTCAATATAAACTCGAGTATTAATCAGTCCGGACTCGATTTGGCGAACCTCAGCAAAACTCTGGTGCTATGCGAACTTGTCAAATTTGACCGTTGAAAAATGTTACYATTCGAGCTTACCTTTTCATCADCCCTCCATTGAAACCCTTGGCTGTGCGAGAGTGTGGATCTCATGATTGCCTGCGGAGGCTACTGCTGCATGAGTTTTGTGACTTATCGGTTGACAGTTAAAACCTATTGTGACATGAACTGGCTGGATTGCCGTTTGACTGGTGAAACCCACTACTGCGTAACCTTGCTGAGACGGGGTGCGTGACACGAGACCCCTCAACCTACCTCCCCTGCTGTTCGCTGCGAACCTCGAAAGCGGGCGCAGCGAGTGACAGGCGTTGTTGCCCTTGGCTTCAGCGAGCGGCAGGCGACCCCTCCGCGGGTTTCCTCACAACGTCTTCATTGCTTCTCAACGCACTAGCGAGGCCTATACCCAAACTGTGGCCGGATTGCCTGTAGTAGCCCCCGGTCACCCACCTCATAAATGCACAGGCAAACTTCTGACCGGCAGGAATGGGCAACCGAAAATTCGTCGGCGAACGCTGGATATGTGGGCCGATTCGTTGGAGAACTTCCAAGAACAACGACCGTGGAAGTCTGCAGAACTGCAAGAACACCTTCTCGTGCTCTGCTCCCTCTCGCTGTAGGTCCTTCCAAAGACCTCCACTGCGCTCCACCACCCACAATCGCCATCTTCGCGTCATGCGTCTCCCCAGCTCCTGTGCCGCCAGACAGCTCAGAGCCATGCCGTGAAGCAGCCCGCCAGCAAGCATCGTCATGGCCCCCGACGTGTCCCGGAACAAAAACGGAGTCACAGCAAGGACGACCATGGCCGCTACGTTACACCTGTTCACCCAGTGCGTCATGATGAGGATGAACATGAAGAGCATGTCTTCCCATTCGTCTTCCGAACAAACGACGGACGAAGGATTCATGGTTACCATGGCACAAACACAAAACGCGTTCCCAACGTACACACGCACGTGTCCGCCCAATTTTGCAGACCCACAACCTTTCTCCACAACAACACAAAACCGCCCAACTTTGCAGACCCACAACCTTTCTCCACAACAACACAAAAGACACACCTATCCCTGATCCGCATCTTCCTTCTTCACCTCCGGGTCGTCATCATCCCCCTCTCGCCCACATCCCCCCCTCCCCTCCCTCCCTCCCGTCGTTGCGCCGAGACATCCCGTCCCACTCCGCAAACATCCCAACGGCCACACGGTGCCAACGGCTGGATGGGCGGCCCAGCCCATGTCCCCAACGGTCGTTTCACTACCCGTACATGCAACGCCGCGGGGGAGCGGCCGAAAAGCAGCCTGTGTGCCGCATGGCACCTGTTCGACAGATGTCACACCGCGTCACACACAGCCACAAGCGGACATGTCCTGGTACAGCCACAACAGAAGGCCATGGACCGGTGCCCCTACCGAACTTTCCTATTTCGGATCTGGCCTTTCAAGTTTCCCTATTCGGGCAAGTGCGGCCGTTTTCACCTGCCAAACATGTTCCAACGACGCTGGGCCGTTTTTTATGGCCTCGCGGGTTTTCCAGCCGCCGTCCGGTGGGGTCCACCTCTTATACATCTTCCGGTTGCGGGATCCTGCCAATCATTGAGGACGCTTGCAGTTGACTTTTGGTGGAGGAGGATGACTATTGACTATTCCAGCGGATCCGCCGTCTGTGGCATTGACCCAGAAAGCTGCCTTCACATGGCAGAGTTTCCTCTCTAGGATTCTTTTGATTTTTTGGTGTTCTGTGTTGTTTGAAATTATGTGTTTCTCGTAGGCATGTGATGTCTGGGGGCTTTGGTCCGAACCAGCCTATGGCTTCTGTTAGGTTTCTCAATCTAATTGGATTGTCCATGATAGAGGCTGGACCATTCACATTCCACGAAACACAAGTCAATTCGGGTTGCTTTCTGATTTCACTTAGAATATCTTCTGTAGTATTTTGTTTAAATCTCTTTGTTCTGTGTGTAACACCCTCCTCTTGTGGAACTTCCATGAGGGTTGGCTTGTTTACTTAGAGGAGAGGTTCGGACCAAAGCCCCCAGACATCTCGGGCCTAAAGCCCCCAGGTTCTGGATTCTTAGTCCAGGTGGAGCTTTTCCCTGACCTTCTCTCTTCCTTTTCTGCCTTGTCTGCATTGATCTTGTCCGCTGCATTCTCCATGTTCTTTCCCAACCCCTCCTCCTCCGTCACAAAGGTGGCCATCCCGTGGGCAATCCTGTCAACATCATCTTTGTGGCCCAGCAGAGTTTGGGGAGTTTCATAGATCAGCTCCCATGGCTTTCATACCATTGTGTTTTCCCCTTGTCGTCTTCCCAACTCACCTGTAGACTCTCATCATGGCACGTCCACGTCCTGTAGTAGGCCTGAGGACGCTGATCTGATATGTTTACCCTCAGGCCTACTACAGGACGTGGACGTGGCACGATGAGAGTCTCCAGGACGCTGATCTGATACGTTTACTCTCAGGCCTACTACAGGGCGCTGCCCGATCGGTGGAGTCCCTGGACGATGACGATGCCGGACTCCGATTTGCGACTCTCCTCTCTCTGGGTCGATGCAAAAAGGCAAGATAGGGATTGCTGGGGAAAGGGAACGAGCATCAATACTTCTCGGAGGGCAAGGTTCGCAGGGTGATCATCTGCGATCTTGTTGAGGGAGTGAGAAACCTCTCCTAATTCCTGATTCTGGTCCTCCAGAAATCTGGTTTGACATTCCAAGATTGCAATTTGCCTTCTCATTTCTCTCTCTCTGCTTGGTGTTTGTCCCAGCAAGTCGTTGTCAAGGTAAACATTTTTTCCTCCTTGGTTCTCTTGTACCCCTTGTCTTTCCCCATTTTCGTTGGTCCCTTCATCGGGTTACTCCATTGTTGTCACGTACGTGGGTTGTCACGTACGTGGGAAGTGGGCCAGTCCCCGGTCTGGGAAGCAGTATCTGCCAGCTCGTTTCCATGCTATCTTCTTGCTTACCCACGTATTGCACTGCCAAAAACTCAGCAAAATGGTTTTCTGTTTGCAATGGCTCAAAGCGATTGGGCAAAGATGGGATGCCAAGTGGATTGTCTGTTGCTGGGGCCTTTTTTAGGCTGCTGATGTGCGTGGCGTGGGCCAGCTTGATTTTCAGGTCCAGATCCCTGCGTGATTGGAGGGAATCAATGTATTTTGTCAGCCATTCCAAGGTGTTGATGGGGTCTTCTTCGTCCGCTGCTTTCTAGTTGTCCTCTGTTGATCCGGTTGTCAGCAAAATGTCTAGATGCATTTTGCTGTTGCCCTCCTCTTTTTCTGCATTTCCTTCCCTGCACTTCTTTGGATCTGGTGAGGGTGTGGTGCCTTTGGAATCCTCTTCCTCGCTCCTGTGCTTTCTCTTTGTTTGTCGTGATCTGTTCCTTTTCCCTTTGCTTCTGTTTTTTCCTTCCAGCTTCTTGACTGCAGATTTTCAAGGTAGGCTTTTTCTGCTTCCCTTCCTATGCTGTGCACTTCCCTGAGAATCTGGTTTTTGTACATTACATGCTCCAATCGGTGTGAGTAGCCCACATTGTCTGTGTCCTATTTGTGGGTACAACAGTCCGGTTCCGAATCCACCGGCAAGTTGAAAGGTTACATAGAGACAATCACGTCGCTGACAATGGTTTTTCTCTTCTTCTTTTCTTTCCTTTCTTTCTTAACATGCTCCAATCTTATTCGTGGGGATTGGCACGTGCTGGGAACAGGGCCCGGTGTCCCTTATGAAATGTGCAGAACAATTTGAGATACCAGGGGCACTACCCGGCTTCGGCGGATAACAACATGACTATCTCTATGAGTGTAGTGTCCCTTATCAAATGAATCTTCCGCTAGGACATGAAGGGGTGTGTGTATGTGTGTATGTGTGTGTGTGTGTGTGTGTGTGTGTGTGTGTGATAATCTTAACATGCTCCAATCTTAACATGAAGTGGCCCGTTGGCCGGTGCGTCCCCCATCCTATCGATGGAAATCTCTCTCTCTCTCTCTCTCTCTCTCTCTCTCTCTCTCTCTCTCTCTCTCTCTCTCTCTCTCTCTCTCTCTCTCGGCTAGCCACATAGTGGGCTTTTTTTTCTTTTTTTCTCTCATAGGAGATGGCTATGGCAGGATCTTTGTCACGTTGTTTGGCGGAGGAGCCGGAGGAGCGGGAGAAGGAGCGGTAGGAGGGGTGGAAAAGGAGCGGGAAAAGGAGTGGGAGGAGGAGTGGGAGGAGGAGCCGGAGGAGCGGGAGTGGAAACGGGGAGGGGGTTAACAAACATGCAAGAGGTGGAGGAGCGGGAGGAGAACATTCTCTCTCTCTCGGCTAGCGACATAGTGGGCTTTTTTTTCTTTTTTTTTCTCATAGGAGATGGCTATTGCAGGATCTTTGTCACGTTGTTTGGCGGAGGAGGAGCCGGAGGAGCGGGAGGAGCAGTAGGAGGGGTGGAAAAGGAGCGGGAAAAGGAGTGGGAGGAGGAGTGGGAGGAGGAGCCGGAGAAGGAGCGGGAGTGGAAACGGGGAGGCGGTTAACGAACATGCAAGAGGTGGAGGAGCGGGAGGAGAACATTGCAAACCCACTATCCTGGTGGTGGTATGAGACCCACTAGGATTGAGGCCTTGCCTGTGGGGTTGCTCCATCTATTGGTGGGGAGCTCCTTGCATCTCCTAACAAGGGTACATTCAGGGTTACACGGACCGCAGCCACTAGTACTATTTCTCATTCTCACCACTGAACACCGAGTCAGTTCCTCTTGCCAAGTTTTACTGGGACCACAGCGGGCGCTGCGCAGTTAGTACACCCATGAACTGTTGAAAAAATTTAGACCTGAGTTCGAATCCAGATTGAAATATCCCTGAACTACCTGGGACCGGTCACTTCGACGATGATACGTCAAAGCCGTCACCAGACTGTGTGAAAGTAGCTTTCACGAAGAAGCACAACTGATGGAGGGAGTTTCGCCATTCCCCATACGGATAGCGGGCCTGGTTTCAACAAACGACAAAAGAAAAAATAAAATAAAAAAGAGACTAAAAGAAATGGGGGAGTGGGTTTCATTGTTGCGTATGTTTACTATGGGGAGTAGTTTGGTGGTGGAAGGACCATTCCTTCACCCTTTTGGGATCTGTTTTTTTTTTTTTTTTTTTTTTTTTTTTTTTTCCCCTATATAGATAGATAGTCTTCATACTACTCGTTAAAAAAAAAAAAAAAATAATAAAAATAAAATAAAAAAGAAAGGGCATGGCTGTGATCCCTTTCAGACGTAACAAATGCCGAGCCATGCAAGTGCAGCAACAAACCCTATAACAGCAAGTGTAAAAACAGCAGAATGTGTTTGCTTTTTATCCCCCCCGCCCATGAACAGGTACCTTTCAATTACGATGACAAAAGCAACTTGAGGCCGGGGACCTCATGATTCTACCCGGAGTTATCCTGGCACTTACAGTCCTCGCGCACACTCAGAAGCCAATCTTAATCACCAAACCAAGTCATGCTTCAAATCCGACTTCCCCTGCCCAAAACTGTGTTTGCGTTTTTTTCTTTTCTCTTTTTTCAATCGAGAAATGGAGAATATAATACCTTGTGTGGATGCACACACTCAGAAGCCAGTCTTCATCACCAAACCAAATCATGCTTCAAATCCAACTTCCCCTGCCCAAAACTGTGTTTGCGTTTTTTTTTTTTTTTT